AAAGAAATGTTTGGCAGTTGTTACTGGGAAAGGCTTCCTGGAGGAGTGAAGTAATATCTGGGTGTTTCGAGTCCAGAGGACAGGAAATCTTTGGTGGAGAAAACAGCAAAGACAAGCAGAGACAAGAGACAGCAGGATTATTTGTCAAGTATACTTGGTGCACAACAAGCTCTGGCTTTATTTTATTCTGGTGATACTTCAGATTGAACCCATGACCTTTGAACTGAGAAATATCCCCAATCCTTTTTATTTTATTTTATTTTATTTTTCTTGAGCAAGGGTTTTGCTAAATTGCTAAATTGCCCAGGCTAGGCTTATCCTCCTACCTCAGCCTCCCAGGATGCCAGAATTATACTGACATATAACCATGCCCACATGGCTTAGATTTTATTTTCCACTGAGATTCCTGGGAAAGAGACTTCCATTCTGCTCTAGATTAACCTGAAAGTCACAGCACTGGGAGCTACTAAAAGTTACATTGAGATTCTCAAAGAGAAATCCTTCCTAGAAAACAAGGAAGGAAGGGAAGAAAGCCACCTAACTCGCACGTACTGAAGCTTTGGCCTCACCTGGTGCCAGGGTAACTTTGGGTTATTTGGTTATGTGACCCAATTCTTTCCCTTCAAGGCAAGATGGGAGAAGCTTTTTTCAACCACCTGCAAGTCGAGTTTCCAATGAGGGAGCCAATGATAAAGGCTCTGGAGGAGGGAAGTTTCCTTCTCAGAGCCGCACCCAGAGAGGCAGCGCAGAAAGGCAGCGCAGAGAGACAGCCAGGCCATGAGGAGCCCCTTGCCCACTGCTCTAGGGCCTGAGATGGGCCGCTCCCATGGCTTCCCTGGTACCTTCCACCGAGGGGGTCAGGCCAGCACAAGCGTCAGGAAGGGCCTGCACCTGTGTCCTCATCTGGCCTTCTTGAGAAGACAGTCACATGTATCCTTAGGGGTCAAAATTTTACTTGAAATTAAACATACTGCCAGATGCCTATAGAACTTGAACAGTGATTTTGGTAATTTTATAGCTTTTACTTTGTAGAAGTAAAAGTACTTAAAGCTGTCGCCTTATTTTACAAATTTAATAAAAACTAGTACTTCTTTAAAATTTCCCAGTAGACTTGTTCTCAAAAGAAAAATAAATAAATTTAATCTAAGAATTTAGATTTCTAAAAAAAAAAGAAAAAATACCCTAGGACCTGAAATACCTATTTACTTTTGAAAATAAGGACAGGAGTTTCTCAGTGAACTATGCTTTAAGTGTTAAAAATGAATAAGTCTGTTTTGACTCCTTGGAGTTGTTCGTCAAATGTTAAAGTCTTTATAACCCCTTCTCCATAAACGATCAGCCATCTCGAACAATCATTTACATTCATTCTATGCTCCTTGCCATAAGGATGTCAAGGGGAGAGACAGAGACATGCCAGCCATTAAATGCCAGTGGTCCCTGCCCAGTGGTCCCCACTCAGTGGCCCCGCCCAGTGGTCCCCGCCCAGTGGTCTCCAAATCTAGACAAACTTATGAATACAGACAAATACTCCTGGACAGATGGGTATTGAACTGGGGGCTATGCATGTACTAGGCAGGTGCTCTACCACTACTGTGCTACAACACTGAGCCCTAGAATTCTTTTTCTTTTTAGAATTCTTAATACACAGATTTTTAACATTACAGAGACTTTTTAAAGTGAAACTCTTAAACCAGCATGAAAAAAAATATGGTTTCAGAGTGAACACCTACATTTAATCTGGAGGAAAATACTTCATTTAGAGAAATTCTCTTTAAAAACTAATGCTTTTTTTTTTTTTTTAATCTAATGTCGTGGTTCACACATTGTGTCAACTTGAAAAGTTTAGAAGTTTAACTAAGTGGGCTGGGGGTATAGTTCAGCTGCACAATACCTACCTGGCAAGCCAGAGGCCCTGAGTTTGATTCCTTGCACCTCCCCCAAAAGAACTTTAATTTAGTGACTCAGCAAGGTGCCAAGATCCTCGCTTTGTGAACATCCTCAGCCTGTGCAAGAGGAGGGCAGGGAGATGGTGTGAGCGCTACACCCACCCTAGGCCAGATAGCCTGCTTACAGTATAAAGAAGGAAAAGAGGCTTGCTCCCCCGCTTTGTGCCCTTGCTGCCTTTGCTACCTGCTGCTGCCATGACCTGCTGCCCCTCTGCCATGTGCCACGCCACCCTGCCTTGGAGCCAGGCGATATGGACTGCAACCACCACTCACGAAAATGAACCTTTCCTTCCCCAATTTTGGGCACTGAGTATTTTGTCTCAGTGACAAGAGAGAAAAGAAACCAAGATACCTAGTTAAGAATGATTTGGTCTCAGACAGTCACTGTAGGTGCAGATGTGTTTGTAACTCAGTGGCTTCTCCATACCCTGAAGAACACAGCTAAAGGTGTGAATGCAGCTTCCATAAGAGACAGTGTTGCATGGATTGCTTAGCTGTGGTTGGGAAGGGACTAAGCATGGAGTTTTTTAAAAAACCCTTTCTGAGCTCAATAGACAATATTTTGTAGATGGAATAGAAGATCGTCATATTCAATGTTTTTTGTTTTGTTTCTTTGAGACAGGGTCTTGCTAGGTAGTGCCAGGCCTTGAGCTCGCTGTGTAGTCCAGGCTGGCCTCAGACTCAGTGATCCTCCTCCCAAGTGCTGGGATCACAGGTGTGTGCCACCACACATGACAGAATTTTGTTTTTGTGGTACTTGGGATTGGACTCTGTGCCTAGCAATATTCTGAGCAAGTGCTCTACCACTGAGCTACCTCCCCAGGCCAATGTTAATGAAATAAGCTAGACTTAAAATGACGAGTATGACATGCTTTTCCCAATACATGGAATTTCTTTTTTATTTTTAAAAAAATTTTATGTATTTGGTACAGGGTCTCACTATGCAGCCCAGACTCATTGTGATCCTCCTGTTTTCAGCCTCCCCAGCGCTGGGATTACAGGCATGCATCACCACACCTGGACTCAGTGGCCGGCTCAGTGAGCCCATGGGCAGGGCCAGTGCAGCATGTGGTACGGGGGATTGAACCTGTTCCCTGCACTTGTTTAAGCAGGCTCTTAGTCCACTGAGCTATCTCACCAGCCCCAATGTTTGGAATTTTTAAAAGGTAACATAAGTGTAGATGAGACACTGTGGGATTATTAGGCAAGAGGATGCTAATAAGAGGAGGAGAAGCAGAGTATAAAGTGAGGGTAAGCAGGTAGATATGGTCAAAATATATTATACATATTGAAACCCAATATTTTATAGCTTTAATATGCACTAATAAAACTATATTCTTAAAAAACACTCAATTTGGGGGCTGGGGATATAGCTCACAGGCATACGTGCCTGCCTGGTAAACCCAAGGTCCTGAGTTTGATCGATTCCCAATACTGGAAAAAAAAAAAAAACCACCAAAAATACCTGATTATAACCATAATCCCCAATCATGACTCTACCCAAAATGTGGCTAAAAAACCAAAGTCAAACAAAAAAACCCATGAATGGGAAACATAAATGCCACAATGAAGTAGTCATTTGCATATGCTTACTACACAAGACAGGGGTTCTGCTTAGGGCTTTCCTTAAGGGTCATAGCTACAAAGAGCTCCTAAGAATATTTGAAGATTAAAATGTGCCCACTGCTTGAGCTTACCTTAGACTGTCCTGGTAGCTCCCTCTGCTGAAGGTCTTCGGTATGTCATCTTCATATATGTCATTTTCTGTTCAACATGCAGCAAGCCATTTATCAGTGTATACAGTAAAAGGACCATATTCCAGTGTTTGCTATGCTTGCCTAAAATTTAATTCTTATGTCTGATTCTTTACCAACTTTACTTCAATAAATAAAACGACATTCATCCAGAGCCTTCTAAGAAAACTTGCAAGGTAATTAGACTGAATCTTTTGAACCATACCGTATCCTTTTACCTCTGCAGAAATAGAAATCTTTTAGCATTAGTCATAAAAAATGTAAGGAAGCCAAGCAGAAATGACAAAAATGATAAAATCACTAAAGAAAGTCTATTCAGAATAACTCATGGGTTAAAAGACATACAGTAGCTATGCCTAATATAGCTCACTTGTGCAAATGTGAAATGGTGGAGAAAGGTTGGAGTGGCTACTTAATTTATCTTGGGGCAACCACAGAATCTGAAAATTCAGAAGGTGCACGAGGGCCTGAAGCATGTGTCTGCATTTGAAAATAAGTGTCAAGCGTTTAAGTCATTGATAAATTAATTCATCCAATAGGGATGAGACTGCTGCACTATGCAGGACACGTGCTAGGAAGTGTCTCCTGTTTGCAAAGAGAAAAAGGAGCAGAATAGAAAATCAGAACACTCTGCTTTTAGCTCTCTGGACCTAAAATAATTTGACCTGTGAGCTTCAGTTGTTGCCTTTATCATTCATATAATCCTGCCAGGGGTATCCAGAAAAGAGAAGATAGCATATATATGCACAAAAAATCTAAAGCACTACATATAGTAACTATTTAATAGACTGGACAAGCAAAAGGGGAAAGGCACTTACCCTTTACATCATTTCCAGTGAGGGCTTGATCTCCACGACTCTGCAAGGTCACTAAAGTGAAGTAAACACCTTTCCTTTCCAACAACTCTTCATGGGTGCCTCTTTCCACGGCTGTGCCATGTTCAAAACCGATGATAACATCTGCCGCTCTCACTGTGGATAGGCGGTGGGCAATCGAGACCACTGTGTACCCATGCTGAATCTGGGAGTAACACGGGGCACTGTTAGACAAGACTCGAGACACAGCTGACCTTGGTCACTGGATCTTCTAGAATCCTCAAATAAGTCAGTGCCTTGGTTCCTGAGAGGATCCTTACAGAGACTGCTATGCAGACATCTGAAAAGGTCAGTTTCTTGTAGCCATAAATGGCGTCACAATCCCATTAGTCTGCTGCTGCTATTAATCAACAAGTTTAAGAAAGGAAAACTTAACAGGAAATCATGTTACTCATAAGAAGAGTTTAAATTTTACAGGTGCAGCTTTTGGAAGCAAATCATAACTTTCTCCTAGAAAACATGAAGAACATGGTGGCCAGTCAATATTTTCTCAGTGATCACACTGAAGGCACAGACCCGTGTAACATCAGCCCTGCCCAGGGAGAGGCCTATTCAGCAGAACGCCAAGCATCTCCACCTGGACCCATACGAGGAACTCAGACTCTCCACAAACCTTACTCAGTGCTTCTTGGACCATGGCTTCGCTCTCATTGTCCAACGCTGAGGTGGCCATGTCCAACAGGAGGATCTTGGGCTTTCGCACAAGCGCTCTGGCGATGGCTATCCTTTGTTTTTGGCCACCACTCATCTGGCTTCCCCCTTCTCCAACAGGGGTGTCAAATTGCTATGGGGAAAAGGATAGCAGTCAACGGGAGCGGATGATGATTCCTGGCAGTAATCCAGGATAACAGTGTTTGTAATTTCCTGTTCAACCATGAATTTTCACAGGTTCAACTTCCAATGAAAGAAAGACTCCATCTCCAAACAGGCTACGGGCTAATCAATAGTTGCGTGTGAGACAAGGAAATTGACTTATGCTTTATTCCAGGGTATACTGAACTATGTAAATGTTCCCCTTTAGCTCTTTAGATAAAATTGTTCAACCAAACTAGAAATTGATCAGTCTTGAAAATCCATCTTAAAAGATTTCAAGTCTTTGTTTCTTTTCTGCAGGAAACCCATAGCAAACTATAATATGAGAGTGTTTTCATATTGTGAATGGAAGAATAAACTAGCTTTTTAAAAATCACCATGGGGGCCAACAAGATAGCTCAGCATTCTACAGTGCCTGTTTAGGCAAGTTTAGGCAGGCATAGGGGACCGAAGTTCAATCCCGGGCTCCACATGCCACACCAGCTCCGCCTGCAGGGTGGGCTGAGCTGACAAAAAAATACAACAATACAAAATAAAAATCATCATGGACAGCAAATGGGTGAGTACTTCTCATGCCCCAAAAAATACATTGGAATTTAACCAATTCCAGTAGTTAGACATATCTTTCTTTTTGGTAATACAGTTTGAATCTCAGGCTCATCACACTGGGCTATGTACCCAGCCCCTTTTTTAAGTTGAAATAGGTACTCAAAATCATTAAGTTGTCCAGCCTGATGGATCTTATAATCTTCCTGTTTCAGCCTCCCAGAGTGCTGGGATTACAGGTGTGTGCCACCATGGCCAGCTCCAATTCTTATCTTCCTTAATTTTTTTTTTCCTGTATTTTTAGGAAAGCATCTACAGGTTGTTCAGGGTCTCACTACTAGATCAGACTTGTAGGATTCTCCTGTTTACAGCTTCCCAAGTGCTGAGATTACAGGCGTGCGACACCATGCCCAGTCGCAATCACCATCTCAGTGCGCCCTGGGGGCGGGGCCGGCATGGCAGGCCTGGAGATCGAATCCCTGGCCCCTGAGCTTGCTTGCAGGCACTTTAACTGCTGAGCTATTTGGCTGGCCCCTTCCTTAATATCAGCTTCCATGAATTGAGTGCCTACCTCATGTAATGGATGGCGCTGAAATTTTACATATGTTATCTCATTTACTCCTCACAGATACCACAGGAGACAGCTATTGCTGCTATATTCAACCAATAAATAAGGAAGGCTGGGACATGAAGGGGCACAGTAACTTTATGGAAGTTCATAGAGCTGGTGAGTAGAGAAAATGGGTTTGATATTGAGGCAGTGTAATGCTAAAGCTTTTTCTCTAGCCATTAGACAATGGTGTACTCCTACCTGCAATCCTATTCATAAGGTAATGTAGAATCTGAATAGGACATGTTCGACCACTGAGTCTGAAGCCAGAACGCTGGTGTGAATCTTGTTTTTCCTGCCTATGTGTATCATTTTGAGCAAGTTATTGACTCCTAAGAACCCTAGTCTTCCATCTGTAAATGGAAATAATACTTTTTCCATTATTATAAGCATAGTTATAAGGGCTAAATGAGTTGACAGAAGTAAAATGCTAGAACACTGCCTGGAAAAAATATATATTACCTATCAATAATCCTTCTTTAATTTAGCAGAACTTCAATGCAAAATCCAAGTAATAGTTATGTAGAATGAATATATATGAGGAACTGTTTTTGAATATGTGAGCTGCAGTTCTGAAACATGGTACTTAGGTTGTCCAAGCACAAGACAACCAAAACAGTAATGATAATGTTAGGCATCAAGAGTATCATCCAAGGGCCTGGGGAAATAGCTCAGTAGAATAAGTACTTGCCTGGCAAGTGCAGTGTCCTGAGTTCGATCCCTGGGACCACCAAAAAAAAAAGTATTGTCCAAGCATTACCACATGACAAATTTGGACACATATTTACTAAATGGAATAAGGAAATTATATCTAAAATTAAATTTTTTGGTGGTACCAGGGACCCAACTCAGGACCTTGCGCTTGCCAGGCAAGCACTTATTCCACTGAGCTATCTCCCCAGCCCCCTATATCTAAAATTAAAGAAAGATTTTTAACAGGAATTTCCTTAACTTGGTAGGTTTTAAACATAAAAACAACATATCTGTAGAACAAAGAGAAAACTCACAGTACATTTCCAACCGGGAAAGTAAAGCATGATATTAAGAACATAATGGTTCAGGATTCAATAGAAAAGAAGCATGTGTCATTGTGTGACTTGGTTTTGCTTGATGGCATCAGGGTTTCCTGCTGGAATGCAGCCAGGGTACCTGCGGCAAGTCCATGATGAAGTTGTAGGCGTTGGCGTCCTTGGCAGCGCGGATGATGTCTTCCATTGTTGCATCTTTCCTGCCATAACGGATGTTCTCTGCAATCGTGGTGGAGAACAGAGCAGGCTCTTGCTCCACAATCCCAATCTGATCTCTCAGCCACTGGATGTTAAGAGAGCGAATGTCGTGGCCATCCAGAGTCACCTAGAGAGCAAGGGAACAGTGTCAAGCAGCTGGAAACCCTGCAGGGCCCTGAGTCAGAACACCAGGTGGCACGCAGCCACTGGAGAGAAAAGGTAGAGCTGGACGACGTTGGGGCAAGCAGTTCCTCTTGAAGTGTGGCTGCTTATACGAAGGCAACACCAGGTAGCTGAAATTCAGCTTAGCTATGGGACATGTCGTTGCTGAAACACACATGATGCAAAGGTCTCGATTGAATGCTGTTGACTCAAAAATGGATGCATTTTGAGTTCCTCAGTGAATAGTAACCAGTCACTCACCATACTTTGAATGTATTATTACTTTGAACTTTCATTATCTCTTGACTGGTGACCAAAAAGGAACATCAAAAATGGGATAAATGGGGCCAGCGAGATAGCTCAGTGGTCTAAAGCACCTGCTTAGGCAAGAGCAGGGACTGTAGTTTGATCCCTGGCACCACATGCTGCGCCAGCCCCACCCCCAAGGCAGGCTAAGCAGGCCACCCAAAAAAAAAAAAAAGGAATAAAATGGGAATGACTGTTGATTGGTGTCCAGAATTGGTCAATGTAGCTAAAATTGAGACACAGGTCATGCTTTCATCATAGTAAATATTTACAGTGGTGACAATGAGGCCTGTAACATTTTGAAATAAATAAATAAATAAAATAAAATAAAATGGGAATGGCACTTATCTTACATATATGCTTTATAGTAAATCTTAATTCTGATCAGATTCATCAAACAACACTTTGTTGTTCAAAAGCAGTTGGATGAATAATTACTACGAAGACAACAATATGCAGTGTATTAATTATTGTAACTGTCCTACTAAACTGTTTTGAAACTGTTTCATTGCTATTTTATCTTTTTTCTCGTTAAAATGAATAAAAGTTAATTTTTTTAAAAAAGCAGTTGGAGATGTTATAGGAAAGAAACAAAAATCACTATAGGAAAAATATAAAAATCTGACAGAAAAATCACAATTTTAAAAAATATTCAAAGTGTTATTATGCAGTAAGAATGAAACTAAGGAAATATTTTAGTGTTATGCAGTAAGAATACCAGCTGAAAAGGAAATGGCCACAAAAAAAAGAAAATCCCATGATGCTTCCCATATCAGCGGAACATTGTATGCCTGACTGAGAACTCACTGCAGAGAAGTCATTAATTTACAGTCAAAACAAGTCCATCTCAAAGGACCAAGGAGATGCTCACAGAAATGCTTTTGAGATAAAGAGCGCGTGTGTTGGCATCATGTACCTACGTTCAAATTCCAGCCTGGTCATGACCTAGTGGAATGACCTAGTTGAAAGGTCTCAGTCTTTCTGACTCTTCGCTTTCTCATCTGAGAAACGGGCATATGTGCTTGGAGGAAGGGGCTCGCAATGCAAATAAGAATAATTTTATGAGAATTATTAGTATTTATTTCCTTAGTTTCATGAGTCTACATGTATTCAAATAATAATAAGAAAATTAAACGATTGCTTCTGAAATTATATATAAATTTTCTTTAAAAACAACTTTTCATAACAGTAATCAGGGTTATTTTCTGTTTTGACTGCAAAAGGAAGAAATAGTGATTTTGCTACACTATGAAAATAAGAAGAAATAGAATAGGTAGTTCGCCGAAGAAGTAGCAGTACCAGTTCAAACACATCTGCACCTTCGGTGATTACTCAGCAAATGAACTGGCCTGGCCATCCACTGGTCTGCCACCATGCAAGGGTCTGTCCCGTCAATCAGCCATTTGGGTTCCCCCACCCCAAGGTGCTGGGAGTTTCTGGAAAACACACACCATGCCTCCACAGGGGTCGTAGAACCTCTGGATGAGCTGCAGTGCTGTGCTTTTCCCAGCTCCACTCGATCCTACCAGAGCCGTCATTTCTCCAGGTTTAATGACCAGATTGAGGTTATTTAAAATCTGGAGAGGGAAAAAAATGAAGAAGTTCAGATTTTATTACAGTAGCTTTGTAGTGTAATTTCAAGTCAGGGATTATAATGCCTCCCATCTTGCCTTTGTTGGCCAGGGTTGCCTTTGCTATTCTAGGTCTTTTCTGATTCCAAATAAATTTTAGGAATGTTTTCTCTAGATCTGTGAGGTAGGTTGATGGTATTTTGATAGGGATTACATTAAATCTGCATAATAATTATAAATAAAATCGGAAAAGTATAATAGATATAGTACAGTGAAAAGAAACTGAACATGGGGAGTAAACAATAAAGATGAAGGAAAGGAAAAAAGATAGGAAAAAAAGTAAGGGGGAAATCATGGGAGTATATGTTCAGGATAGCTGAGAAGATTGTAGTACTACATTTCCATCAGTGTTTTGAAAGTAGTTAATGTTTAAAATTTTCACTTAGACTAACTCTATGTGCTAATATCTATAATCTGAGCAATTATATCAAAGACAGTGAAGTACAATATAAAAACCACACATGAATAACTCCCATCTTGATCTTCTAAATGTGCCATTTCTAATGTCTTATCAATTAGTAAATTTTCTTTAAAATAAATTTAAAAAATAAATCAAAAGTTTAAAAAATGACAAAAAATTAAGGTTTATTGAAAGTAAGGGTTAATGTCTATTTGACCAATCTTGCATACCGGTATCTATTAATCTAAACAACAGATTTGAGGATGAAAGTACATAATACAGCAACCATTGTTAAAGTTTTATTCTTGTTTTGAACTTCTGTACCATATGTGTTGTTGTTTGTTACTCTGGTTCTGTCTTTGCCTTTGCTATTTGTCTTTACTCTTTAAAATAAAATTAAGAAAAATGAAGTTCAGATTATCACTGTGTACCCAACCAAGCAAAAGGCTACAAGTCAGCACGCCTACAAGTGGGGAGGACACTTACACCCCGCAGCAATATCCATCCACCCACCCATAGCCTCCAATCGCCAGCAAAAGGCAGTGGTACCTATGGCGAGGTCTTAGCATTTAGCACATTACTGAGGCACTACAGCCAACAAAAAAGATAATGCGTGTTAACACTGGTGAAGTAAGTTAGACTCTTAAAATTATGCTCCAAAATCTAATTTAAAACCCTTCTGACCTACTACTGTACAATACCTGAAGGAGACTGTTCCAATTAGTTAAGGAAAAAAAAAAATCAGTTAAAGTATAATGCTAATGTACGGACCAAAGATGAACAAGCCAATTTGCAGATTTTAAGCTGTCTTACACTTGTATGATATATGTGCATATTATTTGAATAAATTTGCCTAATAAATGTTTATTATGAATTTCTAGATCCAAAGCATTTGGGACAGTAGGGACTAAATAGTGCTAGGCCTTCAGAACAAGACAAGAACCGTACAGTCACAGCTGTCTGCTGCACATTTTCCCCAACAAGAAGTGATCTTTGTACTGATTGTGTAAAGGTGGCTTAGGGTCTTCTGTGTGACAAAATCCCGTGAGTCTTTCATCTCACATTAGCGAGTCAAGTGTGCAAATTCATTTCTGCCTGCTGGCCTGTATGAGCCATAAGCTCCCAAGAACAGGGAGGGCAGAGAGGGTTTCTTTATTATTGCAGTCCCAGGGCAGTATGTTACCCAGCAGGGCTAAAAACATACTCATCGCATGAATGTAGCTTTACGGGTCTGGATAGGAAATTGTTACTAAAGCGAATTATTGGTGCTGACATAAAAGATAAACTGAAATGAAATTAGTGTCATAATTCAATGAGTATTTGTTGAGCAACTATGACAAGCTGATTTCAAACAGCATAAAGAAAGTTTTAAGCCACAAGAGTGTACTGAGTATTACAAAGCTCTTCTTAATATATTATAGCACCTGATATATAGGTATGTATGTAACATAATGAAGAATGCAGTTTATTTTTTTTAAATATTCATTCATTCATTCATTCATTTGGTCCAGGGTCTCACTACATGATTCTCCTGTCTTGGCCTCCCCAGTGCTGGGATTACAGGCATATGCCACCATGCCAGGTTCTGCGGCTGACACTACATGCAATACCAGGGATCGAACCGAAGATTTCTTTCTTTCTTTCTTTCTTTCTTTCTTTCTTTCTTTCTTTCTTTCTTTCTTTCTTTCTTTCCTTCTTTCTTTCTTTCTTTCTT